AGCCCACCCCACTGGGATACACATTTCTGGGGGAAGTAGCTGTGGTGGCCTAGTGTTCAGAATGGCGCCAAATACGACGCAACTACTGCACTTCAAAAGCGACCACCCAAGGGCAGTTGCATATTTCGGCATGTGTTGTGACCCACTGCAGGGAACCAGAAGGAAGAGTTGCCGTCTTGCAATACATTCGCAGATGGTTACTTACGCAGCTCTAGTTGCATGTACAGGCGAGGCAAGCGTGCGAACCGCACTAGCTCCAAATTGTATATTGGAACCCTCTCATAAAGCCGTTAGCTCGTAATTGGAGTTGCCCACAGGCCGGAATCAACTATTAGGTGCAAAAGTTATTACTTCGGAAGACCGCGGCTGTCTGGAGTTGCTTACCGTATCTGCAACGGTGTCTGATGGTGTCTTCGAGCGAGAATCCAAAACGTTTAGCCATTAAATTTCTTGTTCCGGCGATCGCCTCTTCTTCTTCTGAACTGCTGCCTGAAACTCACTTGTTTGCTTTTATCTGATCTTAAAGCAGTACCGTCGAAATTATCTGGTGACAGGGAATTGCGGTCGGTTGGTCTGGAAACTGGGACATTACATGCGTGTTTACAGACAAATGTTATCACGTTAACAACGCTTCTCGAAAGCTGTTTGATGCAAATACACGTGTGTATACGGAAGTCGTGTGTGCCTTACAACGTGGTGTAATGCGTGGTCTGTGTACTATCGGGCTACAGGATTTCTGGAATTTTTCCTCTTTAAAACTTTAAACTATGAGTCTATTGCCTGTGTTCAGAGAGTCTTATCAACTGTTTTTTGGTCGGAGAGGTACGTTCACCACAATTGCCTGTCCTTCACAATCCCGGAGACGCCTGTTCCCTTGATACTTCAACATGGATGCAGTTTGAAGGCGACGGCTAGATCTCTGAAACGCTGTCTGGCACTTTTACCCTCTGCACTACCGACGGCATTTCAACACTCCCAGCACACCAAGTGGAATTTCACCAGTCAGCAAAGCCACAAAACGAATTAGCCTGGTGCTCGAATTGTCACTCTTTCGTTCACACCCTCTAGACTGTTTCCTTCGACACGTTAACTCTCACCGTTGCTGTATTTCAGTCGTGAGAGGACTCAGCATGAATTGTCTCTATTCGGAATGGGGTGTCAGCGGAGTAGTGTTTCGCCAAGCTCTTGAGCGCGTCCAATTCCGGACGCAAGGAAGATTCATTCACGGCTTGGTGGACGCCTACCGCATGCGAAAATGCAAGTCACCATAAGTAATTGAAAAAAA